TGGTTTTGAAAAAAGAAACATGCAAGGTAAGGTGGCGGGGGGGGGCGTGGGAATTAAAGAGAAGTGATTTTGTGAATGTTTGGGAACAGAAAAGGAGGAGGGAAAAAAAGCACACAGGGAAGGTGTGTATGCAACTTTGTATTTTGCTACACACTGTTTTCATTTATGGCCGCTCTGATAAAGGAACGCATCTGACATCGCTGATACATACAGTACTCTCTGGAGCCTAAAAGAAAGCCAGGGTGCTGGGCTCCACTAATGCTTCCGCCCATGGCATCTGCTTGGGGAAGGGGGAGTCAACATTTTTTTTACTTCTTAGTAAAATCATCTGCCAGAGAAACAAAGAAGTGTGAAAAAGTACTATTGAGAGTGTGCACGTCTACATACACTTTACAAATGCTAACTGTTACCTTCTGGGATACTTCTCTTCCTATAAATGTATATGTATTTTAAATTTCACTGGGTATTTAAAACTAATATTACAGGCTGAAAGCAATTGCACCTATTCAGTTTCGCACATCTTAAAGCCAGAAGCATCAGTGCGCTTTGGTCTGTATAGATGACTCTCAGACAAGAGGCACAGTTGATTAGTATGGAGACTATATATTTAATAGACTTATTTAATGCAAACATTTTTCTTTAAAAAGGAGACTCAACAGAAGTCAGGGGCAGGTTGTATTCTACCACTGCAGATAATACTGCTACTACTAACAATATATTTTTAATGCACAGTTCTCACATAAATTTCATTTCATGAATACACTGGTAAGTACATGTTGCTGGGGCTTCCAAAATGTGGCGTATCCCACTGATGGCTCCAACTTGCGAGTGGGCTCAGTTCTGTAATTGGAATGAAAGGAATTTTAACACTATTTAGACAAAGACTCCAAGCAGTGTAAAGGGAAAGCTAGGTTTCCTTATACGATTAAAAAAAAAAAAAATCTAGAGATTTATTTGTAATAGGTGCGCTTAGGCAGGATTTAGAATTTTTGTTAAAAAAGCATGTATTTGCGTTCACCGCTCCCCTTCAAAGTTTTTAGTAATGATTATTTGTAAAAACGCCTTTCACCTTCTCTTAAAGCCAGACACCAAAACCCCATTTTTGTTAGCACCCCTCTATTTTTGCCTGCTAATGTTTGGGGCCAAAGCCTTATTATTATATCGAACTGCCTTGAAGGGTTCTATAAAAAATGCCTAATTGTTGCCCAACTGTATTTTTCTCTCAAATTGCATTCCCCAGGAGGTAACTGCAGTAACTCCATCCTGAATATCACTCATTTTAAGAACATGTTTGCCTAAAAATCTGTCATCTGATGCTGAGCTTCTTGCCTAAGTAACATCTTCATTTCTGATTCTTCAGGGGGTGATTGCCTATCTCCTAGCTGAGATCAGAGGGAAGGAAAAAAAAAAAATCTCTGAAGCAGAGAACAACTAACGTCCAGCACATGAAAGTGGGTTTACTATTGACTTTTGTTAAGCAAAATTAAATGTTGATTTGGGAGACTATCTATACTGGCACCGAAAGGAGGGTCAAAAGGTACAGGGTATGCGCTGTCTGTGGGGGAAAAAAAATAGGGGAAGGAAGACAAGATGATAAACTGGCTAGCACTCATCAGCGCCAAGCACAACCTGTTTTCTTCAAAATAAGGCCTTCAGTCAAAGTTGCAATATTATCTTTAAAAAAAAAAGGAACAGAAAATGAAATAAAACAAAAGTCATCGTATTTGGCTCTATTTTCAAAACTGTCTTGGCTTTCTCTAACCTTCTATTAGTGTTCTAGGGGAAGCTGACCAAGAGTTACACGAATTTGTGTCATTTTAAAATAGGTCAGTGCTGTTAGTGAAGGTAGCTCTAAACTTTCCAAATGATACACAGTATATTTTGGGGGGTAGATACCCATAAATCAAAGCACAGCCTTTATTCCATTATTTTTTGGCGTGTATTTCCAGAGCGAAGGTGATCCGAAATCATTACCAGCTTGTCTCAGTGGAGAAACCCTCCGCTAAATATTCACGGGGAAATAGGATTTAATAGCAGAGTTTAACCCCAGATGTGTACTTGGAGTTTCCGTAAGTGAGGGGTGGATTTTTCTTTTGCCTACTGAAGAAAAAATGACCTTCAAAGTTAAAACACAAACAACTTTGATTTGTCCAAAGCGTTGATGTTAAATCTTGTCAGGCCTTGCTAACAAGAAAATCATGACGTGCAAGGGAAGAAGGAAAAATAATCAATTTTGGCCCCAAAGCAAGAATTGCTGATCTTTACCATTAAATGCATAGGCGCCCACGCCACCTCCTCCATGCCTAATTTTCCTGGCTTATTTCCCGCTAGATGGGTGCGCGGCTGGATCAGAAGCTCAGGGCAGTGCTGAGAAGGCCCAGCGTTATGGCTGGAAATTTCGTTTGTTTTCACCAGAGGGCAATGATAGCTCAACTCATTTAAAAACTGAAAACTTTGGGGGGGGGGGTAAAATTTGAGAGGTCACAATTTACATTTATATTAAATATTGCTAATTATTAAAAGGGACTGGCCTCCCGCCTCACAAAACAGCCTATGTTTCACTCTGTATTATTGCCTCCCTACTCCTCCATTAATCCTTTCTCTGGAGAAAAGGATGCATTTTACACTTCTAATGCAGTGTTGGGCCCAGTTAAACTGTACACTAAGAAACTGAGTACAGAATCAAAAAAAAAAAATGCAGTTTATTATTGTAGATTATTCTTTCTCTTGATATAACCAGAATTGAAAATGAAAGAAAAGCACATAGGAACATCACGCGTGGTTAGTTAGTAACTCAAGGTATAAAACAATTTTGCACAGCAAAATATGTAAAAGAAAAGTAACTGACAAGATTTTTTTATATTTATTGTGGTAAGATTTACTTTTCATTTTTTTAAGACAGGATGTCAGTCCCTGAAAATAACATTTACTGATTATTGCCTTTAAAACTGTGGATTTTTTTAAGTTACAGAAAATCCAGTTCTGCACCACAATACAACTGTAAAAAAATCTGCATCATTTTAAAACTGTGCAGTAATGCCATTTTTATAACTGCATAAATTTTATTAGCGTTCTAAACAGTTTTGCAATTTTTTTTGTATTATATGCTTGCAGGTTATATCTTAGTGCAATTCAGTCCCAAATACTTTAATTTTGAAAAAAAAAACATACATTTTGAATGTAAAATACCCCTACAGATATAAACAGGGGTGTTTCCCCTTTTAATACTTTGGTTTTCAATACAGTCAGTGGTATAGCAAAGACTACACATACCCAACTTATATTTAAGTTGCAAGCACATGCTGTATAAGCTACTTTTTAAACAGTCCCCTTGCAAACTCTACCCCCCTTAACATCACAACAGTAAACAATTTAGTGCATCAATCTTTTAAAAAATCTACAGCTAAACAGACCTAACTCTTTCAAATTTATCTATAACATTCCTTTATCTGTAGCATACATTTTAACTGGGCTAACAGATTATAAAAACTAGAATTAAATTATATACTAGAAACCCATAGCATTCCACATTTGACAATGACCAAAAGCAAAAAAAAAAAATAATAATAATAAAATAGAAATAAAATTAAACAAACAAAAACAACGGGGCAGATTTCTTTTTTTAAAAAATAAATTTTAGACTGCTTTCGGCAACAGCACAATTTGAGTCCCCAAAGTGGGGTGCCATTCTTATTAAAAAGAAAACATTAAGAATTCTTTAATGTTTGCCATGTCAAATTTTTAACCCATTCTGGCATCTTTGATAAGGAATGCCTTCAGTGCATTTACAATGGGAAGCTGAAGTTCTCAGTAACTCAAAGCAGTTTTGGAGCAGATGCAAACTTTCATGGGAAGAAGGCTCTAGGGTTGCACTTTTTCGTTCTGAACTCAAAGAAGTCATGAGGCAATAAAACAAAAGTATGAATGCCATGCCATAAGTCTTCGAACGTCCATTTCCAAGCCAAAAGGAAAAAAAAAAAGAAAAAATAATTATACCATACATGTCCAGCATGCAGGCGTTTTTCTTTTTTATTAATATAATGTCTCTTTTCCATAAAGTCTTTGAAACAGTTATAGTTCATTGTTGCTAAGAGAAAGTAGCAAGCATAATAATGCATGAGATGAGAATGAGTTTTTTAATGGCAGACTAAACTCTCAGATTTGGCATCGTAAGGCCAAAACTCGCAAGTCACACCCAGAAGGTTGATGCAGGCTTGATTGTGGCAGGTTCGTGAGGATTTTTCTCTATTTTAGCGTAACAGTGCTAAAAAAAACCCGATGGAACTCAGCACGCTGCAAGTCTATAACATTTCACATTTTTTTTTCCTTTGCAAGCTCAATCTCACATGAAGAACTCAGGAGGAGAAAAAAAAAAACTTGGCTTTTTTTTTTTTTTCTTTTATCTCAGAGGAGATGGGTGGAGAGGGAGTGAGGGTGGAGGTTTGGAAAAAGGGCAACACAGCAAGCTCCAAAAAGTAAAATAAAAAAAAAAAAGTCCAAACAAAATGAAAACACACACAGAAAATGGAACACCAGCTCATGAACTGAAGAAGAAAAAGAAAAAAAAATATGTAAATGATGCAGGCTTCAAAGGTGAGCATGAAGAACTCTGCAGAGATCTTTGAACATTGTGCAAGTGGGGGGGGGGCGTAAAAAAAACAAGCTACCAAGTTATGGAGAATTTCAGATTGGCAATCCATGAGCCAGACATCCACTCCCTCCCCAATTTAAGAAACAGCCACCACCACCACCTAGGAGCAGGGTTTTGTGTGTGTGTGTGTGTATGTGTATGTGTGTGTATGTGTATGTGTGTGTGTATGTGTGTGTGTGTGTGTCTGTGTGTGTGTGTACGTGTATGGGGCAAGTAGGGGGTGGAACTCGGTAGGGGAGGGGGCGAGGTGGTGGCGAGCATGGCTCTGGAACTAGCAAGCCCACACCCGAGTCGGACCCCCACGGAGCACTTATCAAGGTGGCTAGCTGGGATCGCGTGTCAGACTCACATGAAAAACTCGGGAGAGGACGGGTTGTCGCTGCTGGAGCCGTTTTCTCGGAAGCCGCTGCTCACCAACTTCTCGTATTTCTCCTTGTACGCGTCCCTCTCGCGCACCAGCCTGGAGATCTCCTGCTTGAGGTGGTCGACCTGCTGCAGCAGCTGGTTCTTCTCGGACTCCAGGACGTGTCTCTGCTGCACCCTCTTGAAGCGGCAGGACTGGGCATAGCCGCGGTTTTTCAGGGTCCGCCTCTTCTGCTTCAGCCGGATCACCTCCTCCTTGCTGACCCCGCGCAGCTGCCGGTTCAGCTCGCGCACCGACATGGTCACCAGCTGCTCGTCGGAGAAGCGGTCGTCGAAATGCAGGCCGCCGGTGGCGTGGTGCGGGTGCAGGGTGCCCCCCGCCCCCGTCGCGCCCCCGCCGCCGCCGCCGCCGCCACCTCCGCCGCCGCCCCCGGCACTGGCCGGGCCCCCGCCGCCCGTGCCGCCCGCGCCACCGGCCGAGGCGGACGCGCTGCCCGCGGCGCCCGGCGCGCCGGCCGTCGGGTGGTGGTGGTGGCCGGTGGCGTGGTGGTGGTGGTGGTGGTGGTAGTGCGGGCCCGCGCCGCTCTGTGCAGCGGCCGCGGCGATCACGGCGGACACCACGGCGGCGGCGGGGCCCATCTCTTCGCCGCTGCTGCCCAGGGAAGCGCCGGCGCCGGCCCCAGCCGCCGAGGCCAGCTGCTGCGCCCCGCGCGCGTAGCCATCGAAGCCGCTCTGGAGCTGGTGGCTGTTGCTGATGAGCGCCTCGACCGCGTCCTCGGGGCTGAAGCCCAGCGCCTCGGGGTTCAGCTGCTGCGGGTAGCCGGTCATCCAGTAGTAGTCTTCCAGGTGCGCCTTCTGCTCGCTGCCCGAGCCCGGGCTGGGCGCCGAGAAGCTGGGGGAAGGCGGCACTGAGCTGCACGGCGTGCTCATGGGGGTGGAGGACAGCGAGCCCCCGGCGATGAGACGGCCGCACTGGCTGATGATGCGGTCGGTTTCCACCGGTTCCTTTTTCACTTCAAACTTCATCAGATCGAAGTCATTAACATATTCCATGGCCAGGGGACTGGTGGGCAGGTCGGAGTTGCTCATTGCCAGTTCTGATGCCATTCTCCTGCCGCCGCCGCCGCCGCTCCTCCAGATGGGCTGCAGGAGAGGGGCCAGCGGGCTGTGCTGGGTGGCCAGCGGGTGAGCCAGCTTGCCGGGCTGGGGCGCTTCTAGCTAGCGCGGCGGTGGCTGGCCCGAAACCTCCGAGCGCGCACACACACACCCCCCCGCCCTACCCGCGCCCCCCGCGTCCGCCCTCCCTCCCCCCTGCTCACGCCAATGTGCTCGCTCGCCCCGGCCCCTCCTCGCCTGCTCGCCTTCGTGCGCGCCGAGCCGGCTGCTTCAGGCTCGGGAAGGTCCTCCGCGGGCTGCGGTGGCGGCGGCGGCGGCGGCGAAGCCGGAGGAACCCGGCCCGGTGCGCGGCGTCCCCAGCTCGCCGCTCCGCTGCGCGCTTTGCATAAGGAGGGCTCGCCTAGCCGGCCGGGCTGCAGGCGGGGCGCGCGCGGCGGCAGCTCTGGGCTGTCGGCGCGGCGGGCGGCTGTCCGGGCGGCGCGGGCCTTGGCACGGGGGAGTTAACACTTCATGCTTCTCGCCTCTTCTGCCTGGCTCTTATTTTTTATTTTTTCTTTCCTCTTTCTCTCCCTCGTGCGCTCTCTCCGTGCAAAGTGCAAGACAGAGGTGCACCCCGGCTGGAGGAAAGGGAGGGGGGAGTTTAGTTCTTTCTTGCCTTTTTTTCTCTTAAAAAAAAAAAAAGCAAAATAGCGAAGTCCTGGGGAAGGCGAGGCAGAGAGCAAAAGGGGGGAGGCCGAGCCGACGAGCAGCCCGAGCTACAGCTAGAAGATGAAAAAAGATTTTAAAGCCTCTGATCCAGCAAGAAGAGTTTAAAGCAATTGCGGAGTTTTATAGCACTTGTGACGTCAGGCCCAGATGGGAAATTGACTGGTACTCCGGGCCAATGGGAGGCGGCGAGTGTGGCCGCGATTAGCATAATAGTATAGAAACAAGGAAACTTTTCGGAGCTGTCAATCAGGGCCCAATCAGCTGACTGTCAGCTGGGACGCGCAGGCTTAACTCTTTCTGCGCCGCCATCTCCCGGGGGGAGAGGAAAGCCAGGCGCAAAGTTTGGTGCAAGACAGGAAAGAGTTATCCAGAGGGGCTGCGGGAACCCGGGAGGATCGGAGGGACGAGTTGCTTTACTTAGGAGTTTGAGAGAGGCCTGCCTTCCGGAGCCTCAGCTGGCCTGCCACTCTGCCTAACTGCCCTCCCCTGCCTGCCCCCGTGCCCAGGATTGTGAATTGGCCTGGCAGTCTTCCCTCCTCGCTCCACCTTCGGCACCCAGGTGTCTGCCTCGGGGACCTTCCTTCCCCCAGCCTGGCTTTGCCTGCAGCTCAAACTTGGCCCCAACTCTTTGTCCCTCTCCCTGTGCCCGCGCGCGGAGGTGCAGGCGTCCCGACTGCGCGCAGGACACTGCTCACCAGCCGAGCGGCTGGAGTGGTGCGGAGTCCGCGGAAGAAGTCCGTTTTATCACTCTCTTTTAAAGGAGGTGAAATAAGTTGTTCAGGGGCCATTACTCTCAGGGACAGGCTGCTCGCAGGCGTCGTGTACCCTAGTGGGTAGCGAACACCTACGCGACTTAACTCCGGGAAGCTCAGAGTCAGGTTAGTCCGGCTCAGCCCTCCGCCTTCCGACTTGGCTCGAGTTTGACCTTTGAGATTCATATTCACCTCTCTCTCCCCCCCCCCCGCTTCTACCCCTCCCCCCTTTCCCCTCGTCCCCCGTTACTCTCACACAATGTTCATACACAGGCTCAACCACCCCTATGAAATCTGACCCCTCTTTATCAGGGTCCCGAGCCTCCTTTGCACGTTTACGTTTCACTATCTCATACTCGATCGTGGCGAGAGGAACTAGGGGGTAAACAACACCCCAGCCTTCGCAGCTCCCCGCGAAGGGTTAAATTTTAAACCGCGGTTTCTCGGACAAGCCCAGAAACCCGGAGTGGGGGGGGGGTGGGGAACTGCTTCTCCCCCTCCCTGTTGCAGATGCTAATAACTGTTCAATGTTCTAGATCGATTCTTTTAAAGCTTATGCAAAAAGAAAAAAGAAAAAGGAAAGAGAAGGAAAAGAACTAACAACTCTGTTTCTAAGATTTTAAAGCGATAGGCAAGTCGGAGAGACCGAGATTTATTTGGGGGAAAGCAAGAGCGCGCCAGCGGACCCGGCGTTTGGACGGACAGCCTACCTGCTTGGATGTTGGGACTGTTGATTCCTCCAATTAATGAAATGCACTTGGTGTTAATAATATATATATATGTATTTTACTTTCTGGGATAGGGAGACGCTAGGAGGGTGCATTAAAAAAAATCTGAAAAGCCTGCAAAAGGATCGAAGAGTGAAAACTATTGTTGGACCGAGTTGGTTTTTACCTCAACAGCGCCACCTTTCGGCAAAGGTCAGTTGAAATTGATCCGTGTCCAGTTTTGTTGATGGAGTGAAAAGAAGCTGGTTTCCCGAGATGGGAGGAGGAAAGAGGCACAGAAAGCTAGTTTGACTGTGGTGGGAGAACCTGACCTTTTAGGAAAGGGGCTGAAGACAGTGCGGGCAGATGTGAGAGGCATTTTCCCCCATTGTTCGCCTTGCCTTTCGATCGAGGGGCTAGGGGACACAGAAGCCTTCGGAGTGTAAACCTGAGAGACTTTTAGCAAGTGGATCCCATGTAACAGGGCCGCAAAACCTTTAAAAGTGCCAGGATGGATTTCCAGCGGGCTTTATGGCAATATCAATAGAATTAAAGTTACTTGTAATTCAGTAATAAATGAGATGCCTCTAGTAAGTAAGATTAAGTGCAGTGCTATAAAGTTGTTTATCTGAAAAGTAATTCTCAGAAAACCTGACTTCTGACACTTAGTCATATATTAAGCTTGCCTCTTGAACATTGCACTTCAGAACGTTCTCACCCACCTCACAGCATACTTTACTATATACTTTACTATTTATAACAAGAAGTTAGGTGTCACTCACTGGCTTCAGACACCAGATTAGATTCGTGTTAATTTCTCTGATGCTGGCAGCCTTCAGTTTCAGCAGAACCCCCAAAAGAGGTTTGTACACACATCATAATCCTAAAAAACCAGTGCTGTTGATATTTTCCAGAAAAGCACCTTTTCTTTTCATCATTACTGCAGTGAAGCTGTTTATAAGGGTAGTTTGGTTTTATGGAAATACTTTGTAGGGATGGAGTGAAGTATGTGTATTACCAGTTTGGGGAAGAAAGACTGACGACTATGTCAATATTTAGGCAACCCAACAGAATTCCTTTGCTTTCGACCTCTTAAACAGTATTTTACTTACTAATGAAGTTAGGGGATTATACTTATTTATTCAGAGGAAAATCTTAAACTACATAAACATATTATGTCATTTAGCATTGTTCATAGCAATAGTTTTCTAGGCTTTTTTAAAATCATTAGCCACAAATGTCTGAAGTTTATAATTTTTCATGTAAAACATGAATTTAAGTGTAGTTAGGAAGAACAGATTCTTTTTTTGTTTATGATAACTTTTTTTTTATCCTTTTGCATCACATTTTTGTTAAAAGCTGTAAGACATGATATTTGCCTCTCATGAAAGTATTTTTGGCCAGGAACACTAAAACTTCTGAATTCATAAACAACATTTATAAACAAAGTTGGCTCATGATGAAGACCATGCAATATAGATTCATGGCCATGCACCTAATTGTTGCAATTACATATCGTTTCTAGAAATTAAATGCCCATGTTTGGGCAGCTAAATATATTATTATCTGCACATTTTTCATGGTTTATTTTTGTACATTGCTGTCAAGCCATGGTATTTTTCTTTCTCTTATTGCAGAGTCTTTTACAGTCTTCCCATTTTTCTTGAAAAAAAAAAAAAAAGAGGATCAGAATTATTTTTTAGATGTGTAGTAGTAGCGCTCTCAGGCTTATTACTTAATTCTGATTTTTGTCCTTTTTACTTTATTACTTAGTGATTCACAGGGGTGTCTAAACATTTACAGTTCTCTGTTAGTGGCATTTCTTTTTACAACAATTGAGCTCTCTCATTTTAATTAGCACTATTCAGGTTTTTTATTCTGCACAATTACAGCAGGCCACGTTTCTTTAGATTTCTTTGCTCACATTGTTTGTTTCACTTCTCGCCAAGCCCATCTAATCCAAATACGATATGAACTGTGTTTTCGTACTGCTTAATATCCCCTTGCTATATATATGCTAGTAATCTCCGTAGAACAATATAGAGTAATTTCGAAACCATGTATTTGTCATTATTGACCAATTCAAACCAGTGGCATTAAAGTTTTTGAAAGCTGTGAATATTTATAGAAGAATTTTGGGAGGGAGGAAGGCATGAGTCGAATCATGTAGATGATTGCGAAACAGTCACATCCACAACACAATTGTAGATTCATGTCAGTACATACACATTATGTGCAAAAAGAAAAATCCTGTTCATATCCAAATTACAATGATTAAAAATTAAGAAATACCTATTTTTTCGCAATGGTGAGTTACAGCTACTCAGGTATATAACACTGGAGTTAGACATAGATAATCTAAAAAGAACAAAATGCATCAAGTGTAGTAGCTGTATTCTTTGTTTCTCCAGAAGCTGATTTTATGGTACAGAGCTAGCTGGAGTTCACTAAATTTCACTGTGAAACCAACTAAAGTGATTGAGAAAAGTAACAATGATAAGGCAGAGACTGTTCTAGGTCTGGTGTTAGATACATCGTTTTAACAGTCTTTCGTTAGCAGGGTAAGTAAATCACAAATCACTGTTAGCAGATTCATGGAAGAAAATTAATAGAATCAGACGAGATAATCTGATAAGGGCAAACTTGCTGAGGAAACAGTCTTGCCTCATATTGGAGAATGTGAAACAACAGTCTGATTACTAGGAGTCGTTATGAATAGGTGAATTATGTGCTAAATAATCATCAGAGTAATTCAGCATTTATTAATTCTTTTCTCTTTAAACGATTCACAGTTGTAAGTTAAAGCCGCTCTCTCTTTGAAGACACATCTTTTATAATTTTTATTGGAGGTAATTTATTATTTGCATTACCTGTATTTACTTCATCATTGAACATTTTGCATTCAAATTTATGTAATGCATTATGCTTGAGAATATATTTCTGCCTGATTAGCATAAATAGTCACTTACCTCATGAATTACTAACAAAG